GAAACATTGCATTTCTCACACTCCCCAGCATGAGTCTGGAATTGTTTCCCCTTGTCTGACTCCTGTATCAGTTCCTATTCAGAAAGCAGCTGGTCTCTGAATAGATTCTGAGCTGGTTATCTCCACACACAATATATCATAGTCGATCCAGGCTTCAATTATTTTTTTTCCCCAGGAAACAATTATTTTACTATTTGTCAGTCTTTCTCCAACCCCTGCCCCATAACTTTTGAAACGGTTGGCCAATTTTAATGAAACCTGGCAAAAAAGCACAAATCTTAAGGCATTAAATTCATATCATCTTTGTGCAAATCAATAGGTGAGGAGGAAAGATTTTGAGCAAGCATTATTATTTCTGCTGTTTCACTGAAGGTTTTTTTTTCCTCTTGCTTTTCACATTCTTCAGAACAAGTCCCAAGGGCTGTCCTTGAAGTGCAATAGCTTGGGGGTACTCCTCTGGGTAGGCAGTAAATCTCAACTCCCATTCAGACACTCCATCTGGATTTACAGTGGTATCAGCCTCAGGTGGGCAACACACTCCTTTCTCTCTGCCCCTGTGACAGAGAGACAAGCAAGGATGCCAGGCATGTGCTGAGGGATCCAGTGGGACCTGCAGCAGACTGGCAACGGGCGCACCTTTACTGCACCTGAGCCACTGCCCCAGTTTGCAGCCAGACCCAGCAGGGTGGGGTTTCACCTACGGCCCTTCACACCGGCCCCTTCACACACCCCCCCTTACCAGTGACTTCAGACAGCGTTCCCTGAGTGCTCAGCAGCACCAGGAACCAAGCATGGGAGCAACAGCAACAAAATGACCCACCTCCTTCCCTGCCTCCACCCCACCTCTCCTAGAAGAACGCTGTTGATATGTGACTCACCATTCCTATTCCTCCAGATCTTTGGCACTCCCAACACAAGAGAACAAGACAAAAGCCCAAATTATTGGTTTTTATTTTTGTTATTTTCCTAAATAACACTTTAAAAAATTTCCACAGAAAATACTATTTTTTAACTACATACAATAACTCTTATTTTTACTTGAGGATTACAACCAAGGTTGCGGAAATGATGGCATGAGCAATTTTGAGCACCCTATTATTTAGTAGCAAAGTCCTGCTTTGATCCATCTCCCTGCTGACTTCAATGGAACTACATCAGGTATAAATTAAAGCAAAATTCAGTCCATCAGCTCTACTTTAAGCTTCATGCATTCCATTTAAGCAATGCCTCCACCTTGATTTCACCTTGCTGTAGTCAGCAAAGAATGCTGATATAAAATGTGTCATGCTGTTGTGTATCCATTCACTCTGCTTTCATGTTTAAGCTGTGCCATTTTACCTTACCATTAAAATTACATTTAGGCAAAAGTGAAAGAGTGTAGAAAGAATGTAATCTCTTGTGCTCTCTCTGGAGAACAAGCTTTCATTAAGTTTTCTCTGTCTCCCTGTACACAAATAGCAAAAACATGTATTTTCCAGTCAAAAACAAGCACCAAAGTAAAAACTCTATTAAAAGGAGCACAGTAACTCCTTCTAACATTTTTCACCAGAATGGAGAAATAAAGTGGTATTTCTCCAGCATGCAAGAACCTACATTTCAAAAAAGAAAAGAAAAAAGGCAAGGAAAAAAAAAAAAGAAAAAAAAAAAAAAGATATGCTGAGATCATCAATCACATTAGCAGGAATGTGTCCGACTCCCTAGACACCAATAACAATCCAAACAATATTACATCCATTAGTCATTGTTTGCTTGTGAAGAGGTAAGAAAGCTGTAGTGTGCCTGTCCCTTCCCTCATTGCCATGGAAGTGAACAGCACAAACGTTGAATCACCAGCCACAGGCATGGCCACACAGACGGGCTTTCCTCTCACAGGCAGGTCAAGGCTCCATCTGCCCTTGAAGATTACTTTCTTGGTTACAACAGCAACAAAAAATCAAGTAACACTGTGCATTAAAGTTATTTGTGACAGTGATCTTTTTTTGGTCTCAAATGTCACCCTCCAAACAGGCTCTATTCATCTCACAAAACTTGGGCATGCAGAAACTCAATTTCTTGGCTTTGACAGAGACATAAAATAAGAAAAATGGAGAAGAGGCATACCTGTACCTTCAAAATAATGTACTTTAAAAAGCATTATGTGTGAGTTTGGTGTCACACTGAAGTTATGAAATTGGAAAAAATAATCCTAACTTTTCAGATAAAGTTCTACTCAGATCTGTAACTTTAAATGTTTCTACCATGTTAAGATATATAAAATAAAATGAGTTAATGTCTCTGCATATCAATAAAAAGCATTAAAAAATGCAGGTTGATGAAATGCGACTTAGAAGACTCTCTAAGTCTCTCAACTTTTTCTCAAACTTTAATCAGATGATCTTCCTAGCAAATACAACCAGTTATATTACTTACTGAACATGAAAACTTTAGTATTTTTACAAAGCACTTCAGTCTATCTATTTAACTTGACAATTTGAGGAGCCACCAAATGACCATCTCTGCTGAACTTAAGCATTACTGACAATTACCCTGCTCTCCCTGCTGGGAGAACCAGTGTCTCATGGTAGTTCTAGTTTTGCTCAAGGAATCTGTTTAGAAGTGACCATAAAGTTCTAGAGATGTCAGTGCAAGATCATGACTGCCTTCTCCAAATAAAAGATTTCCTTTCATCACTTTAAAATGCATTGTCTAGTCACTGTTTTCATTTCTGTCCTTGCCAAAGGCTTGCCTGTGGAAAACACTTAGGACAGGCAGCCTCCCATTGAAGCAAAATACATTCACTGTTCTACAGATAATTCACTTAAGCCACAAGCTTCACATTTTACACAGGACCTAATTGCCAGCCAAATAAAAAATATATATACCTGTTCAAACAAATAAAAACATGACTGACACCTGGAAGGAAACATGGTTACAAAGCCAGAAAGAGCACTTCACGCATGCACTATTAAATAACAGTTTATCCAAATGTTCTTATTTACATACCAAAAAAAAAAAGGATGACAGAATCATATCCTCCATTTATGGCAGTCCAATAACATTTTATCTACTGCAACTATTTCCACGTTAAGGATATGGACATCACTCCAGTCACATCACAGCTGAAGGTACAGTCCGTGCCTTGGCTACATTTCAGTCTGCAACTACAGCATTTCATGCTGCAGTTTAGCTGGAGCCACATATGCTGTTATTGATGAAGCATAAAACCTCAGCAATGCTGGCACCATTTCTCTGCTGCTCCAAAACACAGTGGACTAGACTGTGATTACTAGTGCTGCGCCTAGGCATAATTTTGCCTTTTTTTAGAAAAATCCCGCAACAGTAAGCACCAGAAAATCTGAGGCTTTCTCTAACTAGAGACATTCATAAAAGTATACTGTTTATGCACAGGAAGAAACAAAAATGAAATATGCATCAGGCAATGCACATTCATACAACAAATCAATTCAGCATCCACAGTTCTGGGGTTTATCGTGCCATAACAAACATACCAATAAGCTACACACTAAAAGATAATAAACCTCAGAGAATGGATGGTAACACAGATGGTGCAAGGCACAGACATGTTACCACATATGTAGAGGAAGAAGTGAGCAATTCATCCAGGACAGATCTCTCGTTGGTGTTGGGCAGCTTTAGAGCTTTTATTATCCAAGAATCTGCTCAGGCATTTCCGTTATTCCTGTTGAAAAGCCTTGATTTTTACTACAGAACTCAAAATGTTACTAAAGAGCTCCCCTTTCTGTGTACCCTTGTCTGTAAAAGACTACAGTGGTTAAAGAGGAACATCACCTTTGTATGCTCAGTACTGACTGCAGTACTTTTAACTCTGCAGAGCACAAAATTTTGCAACAGAGTTCATCACAGAGGAAGGGCATCTCCTATCACTACCAAATTTGTTCAGATTAATCCTCGACTCCCATGCAAAGTGAAGGACTTTTACCTTCTTTTTTTACTTTCTTAATCCAGCTGTCATCTGGATTTCAGATACTTCATAAATTTAGATTCATTATCAGCATACACAGCATGAACAAAGTTTTTGAGAAAAGTGTTTCACTGAAAAAAGGAAACCAGAAAACATCAACTAACCTGTCAAGTTCAGTTACCACTTTTATCAATTATGGTATGAACTGAACTCAAGAGAGTTGAAGTCTATGAACACTCATAGAAGCAGTTGGGCATGTTGGCCACTCTGAATTTGATGCTTGTGGTAGGCATCCAGAGAATAAGATTTCTGCAACATTGTCTAAAAATGAAAGTGAGCTATTGCCAGTGCTTTAATTATGCTACTACAAGTAACAGTATTTCCAAATTCATCATAGTTATTCATCATTTTATTCCTATTTCTGCTTCAGGTGAAAATCATGCTATTTGTGCCCCCAGTTAGACAAAAATGAGACAAAACATGAGACAAAAATATGTTAATCTGAAATCACAAGTTGCATGGCTTGCTGACGTGACAGCAATGGCCGAAATGGGTCTGCCCAGCCCTAGAGTCATTCTCATATTCAGGGACAAAAAGCAAGCCTAGAGCTAGAAAGATAAAAAAAACACCTTCCCAGTCCTAGTAGCCCAGAAAGCAGGCACATTCTGAGCCACAAGCACCTTCCCTGAATTTTGTGACTTGTACTTTCATGTACTTGTCCAGCCTGCAGCCATGTAACAATTTGTTCCCGCAATATCATATACATGTAATTTCTGTCTCATTTCTTAGTATTTCCTCAGCAATTTAAATATTGCTTGAAGTTTAGGAACTGCATCTGGAACTACATCTGCTACTTTACTTAGAAGACATTAGGAAACTTACTGAGACTTCTTGTATTAAATATATGTCAAAAATATTTAAAATATAGACTGTCCTAAAAGAGAATGCAAAAGCAACTTTAGTCATAACCAGTTGGTAAACACATATAGCAGGGGCTACGGGTTAAATTGTATCACACAGCACCAGGTCCAGATGCCTCAAACAATTCCAGGGACAGTGGTTCCACCACTTTGCTGGGAAACCCATTGCAATGCCTGACCAACCAAACAGTGAAAAATGTTTTCTGATATGTAATCTGCATCTTCCTTGCCTCAGCACATTGGACAGTTGTGACCGTAACACTGACAGATGAAAAACAATGGCTAAGGAGGTAACCAGGAAACAAGAAATTGCTTGAAAACATTTCTTTTACAAGAGCACATGAGAATACACTGATATGTAAAGGTGGCAAGCTCAAATTCAAGTTAAGTATCATCTTCCAGCTGTTTCCTCCAGGGGTGCGGCGGCAGCCGCCCCTAAGGCCAGACGGGGCGGGAAGGGAGGCAGTGCCTGTTGTCAGTGAGAAATAGCCCCCAGGCGTCCCGAGCGGCCGATGCCGATGCCGATGCCGATGCCCCCGCCGCCGCCCCCTCAGCAGCCGCCGCCGCTGCCGGGGGCCGGGGCCGGCGCGGGGGGCGGCGCGGCCGAACCCGAGCTGGTCTCCATGATCGTTAACCACCTCAAGAGCCAGGGGCTCTTCGACCAGTTCCGCCGCGACTGCTTGGCCGACGTGGACACCAAGGTGCGGGCGGGCGGGACCGGAGACACGGCGGGCTCCCAGCGCCCCGGGCTCTGGCAGGTCGGGGACGGGCCTGGCCCGGGGCAGCGCGCTCGGCGGTGCGGAGCGGCCGCTGGGCCCGCGCGGGGCTCCGGCTCCGCTCGCGGCCGGGGGGCGAAGCCGGAGCCCCGTGTGCGGCGGGGAGCGCGGGCTGGCCGGCCGTGCGGGCACGGGCATACGCACCTGGTTCGCGCAGGGTCCGGCGGGGCAGCGTTTAACGCGCTGCCAGCGCCGCGGGGCAGCGGCTGCGCCTGCACTGCGCCGGGGGGTCCGACGGGGCTCCCTGCTGTACCAGCCTGGCCTCCGGGAGGATAACCAGCCGCTTACATGATCCTTCCAGACCAACGTCTCTGCTGTTGCTTTCTAGCCTGCCTACCAGAATCTGAGACAGCGCGTTGACAACTTTGTTTCCAACCATTTGGCAACTCATACCTGGAGTCCTCATCTCAACAAGAACCAGCTGAGAAATAACATTAGGCAGCAGGTTCTCAAGTAAGTGACAGCTCTGGGATTTCTCTGAACATGGCCGTGTACTGTGATAGGTGACAAAGGATCTGGGTCAATGTAAAGTAAGTTGCTTTCTTCAGAGAAACCTCTGAAGAAGTTGGGTTGTTTTCCCCTCACAGTGTTTTAAATGTAATACTACTGGAGGTAGTAATTCAGCATCAGTATTAGTCAGAATTAGACTAAAGATGTTCTTTGGTCCAAGTTCATGGCGGGGGGGGGGGGGGGGGGGGGGGAAACCTCGATTTTGACTTGAGATGTAACCCCCTAGCTAAAGGCTACCTTTTCTTTTAAGGGAGTTGTTAATAAAATTGCAATTATCATTTGTAGAGCTGAGGAGAAATATTTCACTGACTAAACTCTGCAAAGTATAAAGCTAATGTCACAGAAAAACAGATTTAAATTTAGCTGGACAGAGAAGAGGTTTTAAGAACTGGTGTTGTGTTAAAATTATGTCAGACACTTTAACATGTATTACATTATTTTATTAAGGTTCCTCCAGTCTTTCTTCTCAAATTTTAGACTCACAAGAAACATTAGGAAATTTCTTCAAAGTGCCATGAGTTTGGCCATTAAATTGGGTCAAACCACGGATTTGGGAACAAACTTAATCACTTGTGCTGTGGTGGAGGACTGTTTGGTTTGTAGGGAGGGGAGCAGCCGTTCTTTCTTGTTAAAGAAGCAATGATGACAAGACGTAGCGTATGTTGCACAGAAGACTACAGGGGTCTAAAGAGATAAGCTTCATAGCTGTGGGGTTTTTTTCTGTTTTATTTTACTGAAGATTAAATGTGTTCTCTAAAGCTGCAGAACTTGCCATCTAACACTGGGCAGAAACTTAGGGTAGTGATGAGTGGTTTACTAGTTTTTTATGCCTCGTGCTATCTATAATTAATCTTTTATTTTGCTATGGTAATTGCTAATACGAGGTTTCCTCTAATTTTTTTTCCAAAATATGGTTTTTGCAGTTTGATAGCACTTGTAAGTTTAACACTAATGATGTAACAACAAGCTGCTTGTTGTATTAATTCTATGTGCTTGGATTGTTTTCTCTAGCACGTTTTTTTCTTATGGGTAAGGCACAGGCTAAGTGCATAGCTATGGGAATGCTCAGAAAACATTGGTGTTTCATTGCAGCACATCTAAATTATCATATTTCATTAGTATGTTCTTAAAAACTAATTTTTCATACTAATTCATGTAACTTTGTTCCAGGTCTGGAATGTTGGAATCAGGAATTGACAGAATTATTTCTCAGGTTGTGGACCCAAAGATCAACCACACATTCAGACCTCAGGTGGAAAAAGCTGTCCATGAATTTTTAGCCACATTGAATCACAAAGAGGAGGCTGGCCCCAGTACATCTCCAAGTGAGGAGAAAGCAGATGCTTCTGTTACAGTACAAGGTATTCCACTATTTCTCTGAGCAGTCTATTAACAAAAGAATGGGTTTTAAGAGAGCAGAATCATTGACTAAGTTTTCTGCTACCATAACGTTGTTAGTATCAGTATTAGCAAGCTGAGCTGCAGACAGCATGCCGAATCACTTGTCTCTTACTCTGTGTGTAAAGGTGGAAAGCACAAGACATGTCACACTGTCATGACCATGTCACTCTTTCACTTCTGCTTGAGATTATGAGGGATCAGTTTATGGTGGGGAGAAAAGTTGGTCTCAGTATTATAGGATCAGATAAGACATAGAGCTGTAAGAGAAGAATGATGCAATTTTATTGTCTGTCAGTAGAGATTAAAGATTTCTTTAAGAGGCAGTTACCTGTGCAATTGCTGTGTGTCATAAAATTGGGATGGCTAAGGTTCTAATATTACCTGTATTAACTCCTAAACACTTCTGCAGGTGATTGTCCCTTCTTTCCTGTTCTAAGAGACTCCACAGCCATCTATCTATTTGTAGCCTTTATTTAAATCCAAGCCTTTTTCCTGTGAGGCCCACTTCCTTTAAAATGGGTTAACAAGCCAGCTGCAGTTCTCAGCTGCAGTTAATGCTTAGTTGTCCATCTTCAGTGCTGGTTCTAAAATGATAGAAAAGTGATAAGGTATTTCTGATAGTCCTGTTGTTATGTAGCCAATATGCTGAGTCAATTTTTCATGACATTTATGGAGATATTAGAGGTGTGAGCTACTGACTTTCTCTTGCAGTGTATATACATATATATACATAGAATGTATATTATATGTGTAGTATTTTAGCCAGGGTCATCATGCTACTGAGGATGTTGGTAAAATTGAACAAGGGCTGTGTTCAGATGTCCCTTCCATTGACAATCCTCACTTTCTGTAGGCAGAGCTCAGGAGCAGTGGTGTGTCACAGAGCTGAGTGGATCTCTAGTAATCATATGGTGCTTGGTGTAGGAATGTCTTGGAGATTTTTGTTTGCTTCTTTTTTTTTAGCCAAAACCTCTCAAGGCAAAATTAGTCAAATATTTTAGTTAGGTATATGTATTTTGTAGAGAGTGCTTGTTTTGTTTCTTTTCACATGTTTAACCTTCTGTCAGAACAGAATTATGGAAACCAGGGTGAAGTAAAACTCTGTTCTTTCTTATTATTCAAGGTGTCTCTGCTACAACTCCAAGTGCTAATGTAGCTAGTGATGCAATGTCCATTTTGGAAACAATAACTTCTCTTAATCAAGAAGCAAGTGCTGCCAGGGCTTCAACAGAGGCCTCCAATCCCAAGAACAATGACAAAGTTTCTAAAAAACTCTCATCTCAGCAGAGTGTGGATGGTAGCACTGATAAAGAGAGAAATGCAGAGGACTTGTCAGACAAAGAGAAAGCAATTTGTGACCTTTCTGGAGAAGGGGCTGAAGCACTTGCAAAGTGTGAAGATTTAAATGAGCTTCCCTGCCAAAGTGAAGAAATAAAAAATTCAGCAAAGGATACTAATACGTTTACATGTAAAGATATTCAACAGGAAAGTGAAGATGTAAAGAGTAAATTATTGGAGAAATCTGACAAGAAACCAGAGAGCAGCGAAAAAAGTGAAAGAAGAAAAGAAAAGAAGGAAAAGCTTGACAAGAAATCTGATCATTCAAAGAAAAGTGATGATACTACGAAGTCAAAAGAAGAAAAGCAAGCAAAAGAGTCAGAACAAGTGAAACACTTAGTTACAGAAAAAAATAGCAATAAACATAAAACAACTGAAAGCACTAAAGAAGGTATGGTGTGGGCAATGCCCTTCCTCAAAAAATGGATAAGGAGTGAGGTTTTTAAGTTCATTCAGGAGTTGAATCAGTATATTTGGAATGTAAGTTTTCTGCTAGTTCTGGAAAACTGGTCTGCTAATGACAATTGGATTTGATCCATCTCTCTTAGCTGAGGTACCTGAATTAGGAGTCAGATTACTTTTGATTTCTCAGGTATGTGATTGGTCATCTTAATATGGCAAGTTCTCTCAACAATTTCAGTCCTCGTTTAAAGTTTATAGTTCTACCTCAGAGTGATTTTTGTTTTGAATAAACCAGACTTAGCCTGATTATTTCATTACAGTGTTATAATTTTGTTTTCTTATTTCTAATTCTTAATATAGTTTTGTTTTCAGTGACAAAATTGATGTTTTGGTAGGAAAAGTGTAAGAGACTCAGTGTGCTGCTTTACAGCTCTTTGTTTTTACTTTTTCCTTTGCAAGAAAATATGTTAATAGACTCAGATATGGATGTACTCAGTGACATCACGGTCAGCTCTGTCCATACCAGTGACCTTTCTTCCTTTGAAGAGGAGAGCGAAGAGGAGCCTGTAATTTCTGACAGTACTGAAGAGGGGGAGATCACATCAGGTATAAAATAATTAAATTGTTAATGAGCAATAAGGAGTATGTAATGCTTTTGTTGAGTGTACCATGTCATAAATTCGAGCATTTGCAATATTGTACCTACCTGTAAGAGAGGCTTTGAATGTGAACTGGATAATATTTGTGCAGTTGCAAAAGATGAGGAGTGGACTTACTTTTTGAATATTTTTATTCATATAATATAGTATATTCTAAACATTGTAAATCTTTTTTTTATGCTACAGTATTACATAGGTGAGAAAAGCACTTAATGGTGAATGTCACTGTTCTGCGGGGTTTCTTTCCCTCCAGCTGCCATGAACTTGGAATAACACTGGAGTGCTTTGTGATCCCAGGGTAGTGGTTGTAGCTGACTTTGTAGATCAGATTGGGTTTAGAGCTTTAGGATTCAGGAGCTTGGCCACAGTAGAAAGAACAGGAATGGATCTAGCTTTAAAAGTGCAGAAACGCCAAGTTGTTTCACTGACTGTGTTGCCTTTTTGTGTTCTCCCTGTGTAGTACAGACTTCAGACTCTGATTTCTGTAGTTAATAAAACTTTCCACTTTATAGTGCAGAATGTCTTAGTACCTGAATGAGTTCTCTCTGGTATGCTCACAACCTACCTTTTCTGCTCTAAAAATATAATTTAGAAGCACTGAATCATTTGTGTATTCTCTGGCTTTAGTCTTACTTTGAAACATGGCAGATTGTGTTCAGTTATGACTAAATATTTATGAAATGAAGGCAAGCCTTAAGTATGTTTGATGAATACGAATAATTTGTACAGTACTGCGCTATTTCTAGTAATATTAATAAAACTGGAATAGATTAATTTATTTTTACTTAATACTTAGATATGTGCAACCAACAGTGTGTTTTGTGTATGTATTTCAGTAAGCCAACTAGTTTTTATGTACTCAAATACTGTACTGTTTTCTTTGGTGTGGGAAGAATTAGATTTTAATACATAGCAGAAATTATATTGACTTCTCATGCATAGCTAACTCCTAAATACTGTGTGTAAAGGGGCAGTGGGATTAGAGGCAAGAGGAATAAGCCCAGTTGTCGTATCCTGGTTTATTACTGGGCTTGTCATGCAGTTTTTTGGCTGAATGATGTACACAAACACATCAATGCACTTTTGATTTTTTCACAATCTAGTGATATTTTGATACTAAGGATTTAATTTAACTGTTTCTGGTTTTAGAGTAAATAATGGTGGATACGTTTTGAGTAGCTTTGCCTTCTCTAAAGTTATGTTGAAAGCACTGCCCTAATTTATCATTATATCTCTACACTCACCAACCTTTCCTTAGATGAAGAGGAGAAGAACAGTCAAAGTAAGACGAAGCCCCACGCAAACGAGCTGAGTGATGGGAAAGCCAAGCCCGTTCGCCACGCTTATGTTCGCAAGCCTTTCCTGTACTCCAAGTACTTCAGTGACTCTGATGATGAGAGAACCGTAGAGCAGCGCCGGCAGTCCATTGTGAGTCCGGGTTTTGCTACTGCTCACACTCTGGCCCCAAAACTTTTTAGAGCAGAAACTCCACTGCTGGTTTGGTGGTGGTTTGTGCAGGGGGAGTCTTCAGTTTCTTCTTCCTTCAGGGTTTTTTTAAATCTTGTACTACAGCTGCTCTTTCTTCATGTTTCCATCATTATGGCATGATCTGCTTTCCAGTGCAGCACTTTGCTCTGCTGGTTATAGTTTGAAGGCTCCTGGCAGTGAAAACAATGACAGAGTTTTCCATCTCCTTCCCCTCCCCCCAAAATACTGTGACAATTTGGATGAAAAAAGTAGCCCATATCTACCTGCAGCCTGCCTTCAGCAGGATTTTTTGGTAGATCAGGCTTGTGTAGAGTACTGCAGGCTACTTCATTACCCCAGCTCTTTACAAATGTAGTCCTTGCTGACCATGAAATCAGTAGTTTGTAGCAAGTCTGCAGCTGCTGAGAATGGAAACAGAGATTTAAGCATGTGCACTCTGTTCTGTGGCAGAAGGGCCAGCACAGAGAAGAGGGAGCAGCAGTTATATTAGATTTTTTGTTAGCCAGATACATATAATAAATATGTATATATTGTATGAACATACTGATAAAACATATGTTCTTTGAGAAGGTTGCATAGCTTCAGTCTGCAGTGTTGAGCAGCAAGGAAATTCTGGAACTCAGCTAATTTAACTCCACAAAAATATTAGAGGATTCCATTAACTTTTATACGATTTCGAAGGTGTATTTATGTTTTAGTTTTCCTTAAGCTATGTTCTGTTTTCTGTGGGGTTTAGACTTATATTTGTAGTCAAAGAATGGTCTTTGACCTAATAATAAATTGTTTTCCTTGGTTTTGTATGTCTAGGCCAAAGAAAAAGAAGAGAGACTCCTCAGAAGACGAATTAACAGAGAGAGACTTGAAGAAAAACGTAAACAGAAGGCTGCAGAAAAGACAAAATCACTAAAAACTGGAAATCAGAATGCTAAAGGTATGAGAAGAAAAGTTGTGAGTAGCCCACACCACCCTGCTCTTGCTTACCCTCTGTAGGAAAAAAACATTCAGCTTTGAATAATGGTCATATAGGGCTATAGTCATTTCCTTCCCTTAATAACCCAACATATCAACAGTGATGTAACAGAAAAAATTATAATGCAAAGAATTAATGCAGAATTTCTTCTTCACTTTTTCATATATCCATTACACTGCTTAAGCTTGATTAACACCTATCTAAGTGCTATTCTCTGCTACGCCTTAGTACTCTCTGTACTGCTTTCTGTCATGTTTATAGCTGAAACACTAATATAATGATGTGTATGTATTTCACCATTTGTGTATTATTTTAGGAAAAAGTGGCTTGCAATCAGAAGAACCTTCATCAAAAAGTCTAGAGTCAAAAACAACTGGTACCAGCATTAAGGATGTGCTTAAAGAGCAGAAATTTTTGGAAAAAAAAGTGGCCCTGAGCAGAAAAAGAAAAAGAGATTCAAGGTATTTATGTATTTGCTCAAAAGGACTTAATGTTTTGAATATTCATTTTTGCAGATTGGAAAGGTTCTTTTCAGCTTTGTACTTAACCTTATCCATTTAAACAATTTTTTCTTAAAATATTTTCATAGTATTGTTACTAATAAGCATGAAATGTTTCAGCTCAGACTGCAGTAGCAGTCTTTGTGGTTTTTCATGGAATGGTAATAAAGGCATGAGAAAGGTGCACAAACATGTAAAAGCTCTCCAAATAGGCAAGTCAGGTTGGCTTCATCTTTCGATAGATGTTTCATGTAGATATGTACCTTTGTACATAAGTGTCTCTATATAGGTAAATATGGGGCAAGGAGAACTTTTACCCATTTTACAGGGACAACAACAATAGTAATGTCATACTAATACCCCTTAAAAGCACTGGTATTCAGGGTACTTTTGAAGCTGATATATATAATTTTAGAAGAGAAAAAAACCTGGGTGCATAGGTTAGTTAGAAGTTTGTTGAGCATGCTCTGTATTTTTAGTGGGCATTTCTTTCTTGCATTCAGCTTTGAAAGTGGAAAGTTTGCAAAGTAGTGTTAGGCTGGTACCAATTAATTCTTTGTTAAATTGTCCAAATACCTGTTGCAGGCATGCTGAAGAGAGCTGCAGAAAGAAAAATGATCCATCTGAAGAAGATTCTAAAGAAATGCAAAAGACAAATGAGGTAGGTGTCTCTTAACTATAAAACTTACAGTCTTCCTTTTAATTCTGATAGTACTCTTTCATATGTCCGCACCAAACTGCATATAATTGCATTCGTTCTCAATCACAAGTTTTTCCCTGCCTGTTCCTTCAGTTGTGTTAGTGATCTGACATCACTGTAGTAATGTTTTCTGAATTCCAGTAGCCACTGAAATGTGGTCTGTGTATTCAGTGCTGGTGCATGTTGTAGTAGAACCTGCGATGCAGTTTGAGCCCTAATCTATGAAGCATGCTGGGTTTTTAAAAAGAGCAGTGTCTTTTATGTGCAAAGACTTGAGCTTGATCTGTTTTAACTTCTCACTGGAAAGTTAAAGGGAAACTGACTGTGCTCCAAACACAAAAGGAAAGAAAATTTTTGTGGTGAGCATTTTATGAATAACATTGTTTAAATTAAAAAAAGGTGGGAGTAGAAGTTCAAGTAGAAGTCTAGATGTATCTTTTATAGGTTTTGGTGTGTTGTTTAGTTTCAGATTTTTAGTTCGTTTTGTTTTACCAGACAGCATAATAGGTATTTAAAGTAGCTTACAGAGTACTTGAAATTGATTGTCTATTCAAAAACCTTTTAAAGTCATTCTAGAAAAATTACCTTATGAAGAAAAAATAATAAAGTTCAGACAGCTTAAGGATAACTTCTGCTTTTGATTTTTCTACTATAGCAGATAGCTGAAAAGAAAATGGCAATTTTCATTTCCTGGCTAAAATGAATTTTTATTACAATGTTAAGTGTATTCCCTAGTGTATTCAAGAATTTGTGCTTGCCAGTTATGCTCAGGCGCGTGAGGGAACTGTGTAATGTGTACTTATATATATTAAAAAAATCTCTTTTGTAGACCTGTGAAAAAAATTCTTCCAAAGAATTGAAGCACAATCATGGAAAAAATGAAATCTGTAAACAACTTAGAAGACTTTCGGAATGGGGGCATTCAGCTGAGGAAAGCAAAAGTGATTCTAAGGCAGAAAAAGAACATAAAAGAAAAACTTCCACTTCTCTTCAGGCTGAAGGAGCTCAGCAGGACAGCGAAACAAGGGATCCAAAAAAACAACTGGATAAAGCAGAAGTCAATACTGAAGAACCACAGAAGCAGAAATCCATATCTAAGAATGAAAAACATCCCAGAAAAGATACTGACACAGATATTCAACATATGAGAAATTCTGCCAAAAAAGAAGCCAAGTCTTACAGAGATAAAAATGAAAAGGAAAGAACTGCTTTAGAAGATAAGTTTCCTTTAAAGCACAAATATAAAGGAGATGGGATTCACAAGTCAGGTGAAGATGTTGAACTTCATTCATTTGAGCGAAGTTTGAAAGGAGAGGATGGTGGCCAGAAACATAATCAACAAATAAAGGTTTCCTCTGATGACAAATGTGAAAGAAAAAGTAAACATCGAAGTGAACGGAAAGTATCAGTAACAGGGAAAGATGGTAAAAACCCTTCTGAATCAACCTTAAAAGCTGAAGAATTGCTGCGGAAAGAAAACAAAAAGGACAGGCATCTCTCAACAGACAAACCAAGAGCAGAATGCAAGACCAAAAGGTCTTTGAGTGATTCTAAGCCACAGAAGGATTCCCTAAGTGCCTCAAAGCAACCTGGTTCAGCATCACACAGAAGGAGTGAAAGCTACTCAGAAGATAAACATGAAATAGAATCAACTAACTCTGATAGTAATGTAAAACTTGAAGATGGTGTTCATAAAGATAGACGAAGATCTAAGAGCCTTGCAGAAGACAAGATTTTATTGAAGTCCAAGTCAAAGAGTCATAGTAAACAGTTCAAAGCATCTGAAACAGAATTACAGGAATTAACAAAACAAGACACTGGACAGAAACTATACAAAGATAAGAGCATGGAAGACAATGATTCAGATAAACAGCACAAATCCAGGAATGAAGATAAAAGTTTGGAAGAGAGTGGTGCTGAGTTTCAGCTTGCAAGTGGCCCACAATCAACTCAGGGATCACAAAAAGACTTTAGTCACAGAGTTAAGTTACATTCTGGAGAAAAAGGGGCAGTAAAAGAGAAGTACAGAGGTGATAAAGATTTAAATAATTCCAAACTAGAAAGAAGGTTCTCTGCTGAAAGTCATAAAAGCAGAAACTTAAAGCACAGCAACAAGGAAATAAAGAAGAAGGAAGAGAGCATCAAATTGGAAGATAAAGATACTAAAGAAATGGATAGTGGGCATGAAAGATTATCTAATGTCACAATGGTAGTGGATAAAAAACAAAGCAAGAAGGTATCCTGTGAAAATAGAAAAGGCAGTATATCAAACCAAGATTTACTTAAGGAGGAAAAGCAATCAACTGGCACAACTGAAAGCAGCCAGGTTCCAGCCCCTCAAAAGGCAGCTATAAATAATGATGACTTACATGCTGGTCATGAGGAAGAGCTGACTGAACTTGATTTGAAAAAAACAAAAGCACAGGAAGCATCTAACATTGATGGAAAAAACATTCAAAACTCTCTCCAAGCCACAGATGCCAAGTGTGCAGTAAAACAAAAAGGATCTCGTTCTATCTCAAATAAGGAGTTAAAACACAGCTTGGCAGGTCCTGAAGCTTGTGAATCACAGTTTCTGCCTGCAGCTGAAAAAACTGTTGAGCAAGAAGATTCTTCTAATAAACAAGTTGGTGCCTTAGACCCTCTGTCCAAAAAAGCTTCCATGGCTCAAGGTCCCAGTAAACAAGGGGCTTATAAAACAAATATTGTGTGTGAAACAAGTGGTAGAACCTTAAAGAATGCATCCAGTAGGGATCAGGCTTCAAAGGATAGCAGAAGACCAAAGAATTTAAAAACTGTGATAAATTCTAATTCAAATGATGTTCCTTTAGCAATTAATTCTTCAAGAGAAGATGCTGCTGATGCAAAGTCCATGGATATGGAGATCTCAGATTCTACAGATTCTTTAGGTACCATGTCTAAAGAATGCCACAATTCAGATGGGACTTCCTTATTAGAAGATGCTTTGCCTTTGAAGAATGATACAGCACAGGTTGTATATATGGAGCAAGACCATGTAGTGCCAAGTTCTGTCATGAAAGCTGATGGTGACAACACCATCATGGCAAACAGTATGGAAAAAGTTAATGAGGTGTCCCGGCCTGATGAACAGGCAGTGGAAGACAGTACAGCTGGGTTACATAGGCGAGAAGATTGCAATGAAGCAGCAAAGTCAGAAAGCTCTCAAAATAGGAAGTTGAGAAGAAAAGAGGAAAACTTGATGTCTGGCATAACTGAAGATCATGGAAATGTAACAACAAAAGAACTTACCCCAAGAAGAAAAGGAAGAGACTGCTTGAATATAGATCCTTCCACAAAGGGAGAAAGAAGCTCAGTGATGGATAGTGTGGAAAAGAACAAGGTGCATAACACAGATGATATGATCCAGTCTTCCTCTGTTTTAGTGCCTGAAGGAGGTCCTGAGGAAAGTTTCAAAGGCTCTGTTACAGCCAATGTGCAAGAAGGAACTAATGTGGTTGGCATGGAAGACAAAAATGAAAGCAATGCTGTAGGTACCAGTGCAGGAAGTAGTAAACTTAGTTTGTTGTATAGCAGCCTACAAAAAACTCCTGCCAGCGTGATAGGAACTAGCACAGAAAAGATCATTGAGAGCACTGCAATGGCAACTAGTACAGGAGGAGAAGGAGCTGAGGGGACGTCACATTCTGGAAAGGATGGTGATGCTACAACCACTTGCTCAGAAGAAAGTGAGGTGACAGTAATCTGCACAAGCATAGAAGCTGATGAAGGTTTCACAACAGGCGTATGGGTAAAACCTAGTGAGGACTGCAGTTTTGTCACAGGAGCAGATATTGGTGACTGTACTGTTGCAGCAGCGGAAGAAGGTGGTGGCAGTGTTGTCACTGAAGGATTAGCAGAAAGTGAAAGCTTCCTAACAAGTACAGAAGGAGAAGAAAATGGTGACTGTACCATGGTTGCAGAAGAGGGGGGTAAGGATTCAGTGAACCCAAGTGGAGTAGAAATTGAAGACAGTGTAAACAGTGCTGGGACAGAAGAAAAAGATGATGCTGTGACTAGTGCAGGCTCCGAAGAAAAGCAAAAGACCTCAGCTTGTGTGGATATAGGCAAATTTGAAAGTTCTGTGTCCTGCTTAGGTGAAATGGAGAGTGATGGAGCTGTAACTAGTGCAGGGACAGAAACAGGTGAAGGGTCAACAACTGGTGATAATTCAGGTGAATTTAGGGGCAATGTGACAGCTGGCCAAGTAAAAGAACATGAAGGTACTGTGACTTGCACAGGTGCAGAAGAAAGAGGTCATAACTTCATCATCTGCTCTGTGACTGGTACAGATACCCAAGGAGAAAACACTGTAACTGGTGCATGTGTTGCAGTGGTCACAGACAACGATGCCACAGCTGGAACTAGTAGTGACAAATCTGAGGATACTGTAACTGGTGAAAGTGCCGTGACCAGCACAGGCATAACCCCAGAAGATGATGCTGAAATTTCAGCAGTCTGTACAGGGCTAGAAGACAGCAACGAGGGATTTGTAGTTTGTTTAGAAACTGAAAAATGTGAAAGTCTAATGGACAGTACAAGGGCAAAGGAAGAAGCCAGTATCACTACAGTCAGTGTAGGTCTGTGTGATGATGAAGGTTTTGTGACTAGTACAGGCTCAAAAGAAGAGGATGAAGAAGGTGAGGACATTGTGACCAGTACAGGAAGAGGAAATGAAGAAAATGAGCATGCTTCTACTTGTACAGGAGTGGAAAGTGAAAATGCACTAATTTGTATAGGTGCAGAAGAAGGTGAAAGTTCTATTATCTGCATAGTTGCTGAACAAATGGAAGCTGAGTCAGGAGTGGCTGGCACAGATGTAAATAAGCTTACTGTTGACAGCATGACAAGTGCAGAGAAAGGAGCTCATTGTGGCACAGACTGCAGAAATGATAAAGGCATTGTTGAAAGCAGCGTGACCAGTGCAAGTGCTGCAGACGAGGGTGCCTTAGCTGCACAGACAGGAAAGTGTGAAGGTACCTTGCTTCCCTCAGATGCTGGGGAATGTGAGGGTCCCATGACTAGTGCTATGGCAGTGCAAGATAAGACACAGTCTGCTGCTGAAGACAAACATGAGAATGCCATGACTTTCTTTGACAGCAGAGGACTTGATGCCTCTATAAGCAGTGCAGTTCCAAAGAAGGATGAGACTTCTCTTACTCCTGCTGACAGAGAAGTAAAGGTAAAAGGTGATGCCATCTCTACCAGTACAGTGGAAGATGCTCCTTTACATTCAGCCACAGATGCTGAAGAAGGTCCGCTTGCTGTTGCAAGAGTAAATGAAAGTGGGGAAAACTCTATGATGTTAACAGACACTGAAGACACAGTGCCTATGCCAAGCACAGCTACAGAGTTTAAAGAGTGTGTGAATACTTACAGCAGTAAGCAGGAGAAAGACGAGTGCACTATGATTTCCACCAGTATTGTGGAGGAATTTGAGGCTCCAATGTCAAGTGCAGCTGTTGAATATGATGGTCAGCTCCCCTCTGTGAAAACAGAAGAAATAAATGAGAATACTATTGTATCCGTAGATATGGAGGTATATGAAGTTCCCATGCCTAGTGAATCCAGTATGGGAGGAGATGAAAATGGTGATGATGGAAGTCACCCAACTGCTAGTGGGAAGGAAGAAAAGGATGAGTGTGCTATGATTTCCACAAGTGTTGTGGAAGAACAAGTAATCCTAATGTCAAGTGAAGTCACAGAAGAGGTGATTCAGCACATCTCAGACACTGAGTCAAAGAATGAAACGCTAATGATCTCTACAAGTACAGCAGAATGTTTTGAAGCTCCTATGTCTAGTGTAGCTGTGCAAGATGAAAACAAACTCACTGCTTCAGAAACAGAGGGAAGATACGAAGCTGCTATGATCACTACAAGCATGACAGAAGAATGTGAGATAGTCCTGATCAGTGCAGCACCACAAGCTGAAAGTCAGCTCATCGTAGCAGGAGATGAAGGTCCTATTCTCTCTCCAAATGCATCAGAGGAATGCAGGGTGGTGGAGACCACTGCAACTGTAGATGAACAATTTGGACTAACTGCTTTCAATGCAGACGGGAAAAGCAAAGGTTCTGTGATTTTTGTGGGAGAATGTGGAGCTCCTGTGCTAAGAGTTGCAACTGACAGTGAAGATCAACACACTGCTTCAAATATAGAAGATAAGGAGGAGGGGGCAGTGATCACTCTGAGCACAATGGAAGAATGTGATAGTCTCTTCACCTTCACAGTCATAGAAGAAAGTCCACTTGCTGCTGAGAGTACAGAAGTAAAAGACAAAAGTGAAGAAATTTTTAATACTGCTAACCAGATTGAATGCATCCTTTCAACTACAGACCCAGAAAAAAGCACAAATTCTTTGCTTGTTATTGGTAGAGAGAACAAGACACATGAGAGTGGGGTGAGGACAGAATCAGCAGCATCTCAGGCCACAGTAGACAGTGAAATCACAGAAACTGATGAAAATGCAGTGAACCTCATGAGTGTAGATGAGGGCCTTTGCGTGGAGATTAGTACAGAGACTGCTGAGAGTCCTTCCCCAGAGGCAGGTGAGGACGATGAGCAAGCGGAAGATGTTTTGCAGGAGGATGTTACATCGGAACTTTCCAGTACGGTTTCAGAAGCAGCGAAAGAGAGTGAAGCTGTAAAGAATGTAAACTGTAAATTAAATTCAAACGTACTACTGGAAAGTGACTTACCTGAAATAAGGACTCCCCTGCCTAAGACACAGGCTCTTCCCTTAGTTTCTGCAGATGAAGTGACTGTAAACACCAGCCATGGTGAAGTAACAATAGAAGCAGAACTAGGGAAGAAAAGGGACCTCACATCGTTGCATGTAGAAAAGCTATATGACAGTGATGACAAAACCAACTTGGTCAAAACAGGTGATACTGGCATTGAAATTACTTTTCAGAAAAGTAATGCAACCTTTAATTCAGGTGAGGATTTCTTTTTTTTAATTCTTTATAAGTTGTCAAACAGATGCATTTTGCCGTTATAGTTAGAAATAACTTGTACTGTTGAAATATATATACCTCACTTCTTTGTTAGTTGCAAAATGGCTGTTAATACACTTAAGAAGAATTGGTGACAAATAAATAAGCATGTGATTCTGGGCAAACAAGACCAACTGAGTGCAGTTACCTGAGCTGTGTTGGAAAAAAAATATTACAGTGCAAGAAATTACTAAAATACATTGACTTAAAGTTGTCAGCCAATATATAAAGTTGTTTGTAAGGGGAAATTATTGTGGAGGTACACATGGATTTTGTTATTAATGTGTTATGAAATTCAAAAAGTTTTTTAGGAAAGCGGATGCATTTCATTTTGAAATATGTTCATCATTTTAGAAAGGTAACTTCATAATAACTTTGAAGGTTGAGATTGGCCGTCCTTAGTCATAACTGCAAATTTTCTCTGGGTTGTTATTTAGTGGTCGTGTTCTGATTCACTGTATTACACTTAATTTTGTCTTATGAATACACTTGAAATGGTTCTGCTTTGTGTTACAAAGGAATCAGCCAGTTATCCTTAATAAGTATCTTAAGTGAGCAATAGATGTCTATTTTAAATAGAAAATGGCATTATTTTCTATATTCATACTCTGTATCCAGATCTATTTTTCTACGCTAACAATTGAAGTGAATCTGCATGGTTGCTGGTTCCTAAAATACAGTGTAATGAACATCCTACTATTTTTGACCTTGCATCTCTTTAACCCTCTGAAGTTGCTGAAGCACCAATTTTTCTAAACATTAATGAATTCTGGAGATGCTGTAATGAAGTCAAATATTGTAAATTTTGGAGAAATTAAACTGTAGAAAAATATGCCACAGGAAGTGGAGTGATGCTGATCAAGTACTATTTTTTACATTTTTTCCTTCTCATGTCTGTCCTTGCTATAATTTTTCTTTAAAAATGTATAATGCGGGTTTAGGTCCAGTTTATTAAAGGCTGACTTTGTTATCCAGTTTTAATGACATTTGGGTTGAGAAAGCTGTCTCTACAGATTTTGGGATTTTTGGAATTTTTCTAGGAAAGGTGCTGGTTTAGTAAGCTTGAAAAATGTTATTTTCTGTTTATACAAGAGGCAAATGAGCCATGAAAGTGTAAAATACTACACAGTAAAGTATTCCTGTCTTGGTGCTTGCCTCAATCCTTGGTGTCCATTGATGTAGCTTTTATAAATGGCAATGGTACTTATTCTGTGGATTGCAACCATAATTTAATCACTTAGCATGCATCATTGGTGAATTATCATGTTGCAACTATTTCTTTTTGTTTAGGAAAAGCTGTCTAAACAGGGTTCTGAAATAGGTTTCCAAAAATGCTGTAAAACTTGTATGACTATGCTGTTGCCTGTATTTAAGATGTTATAAGTATACACTTGTTCCCCTGGGTAATGAAATGGGAAGGGGGTTTATGATTTTCTGAAACTGTGTTAATGCTGACAGGAACTACTGAGTTTTCACTCTCTGTAGAAATTGAACATTTTCACTGGTTATGGTTCTAGAGCTGACAGATTTAGACCTAATTGTCACTTAAAGCAAAATATGTCCTCAGTATTAACTCTTAGCTCTGCATTTATTAATACAGAGGTAGTTTGCTGTTTGGAATTTGATCTAAAAAATCTGTTGATGGTTTCTTTTTGAAGGAAAAGCAAGAAGTAAAAACCAAAGTTAGAATTCCTAAATAAGCAAGGAAAAAAAAGTGCCAAAGTCAGAATTCATAAATAAGCTGTGGTAAATCCTGATACCCCCTACTTTCCAAGCCTTTTGTAGTTAAGGAGAACATAGCAGTACTTGTGTTCTTACAGATGCCAGGTTTGGGTTTTTTTCAGCTGGTTTGCTGTAAACAGACTGGCTATTGTTTCTGTTGTCTGCAGGAAGGGTTTAAATTTATGTGCCTTATTCATGAGGTAGTACTCAGAAATATCATTCTGCTGTAGCATGAGAGAAATGCATAATGTATTCTGATAATTTTAACATATTTGTATTTCATTAGGCAATAATGCAGCCGTACCAAAGTTGACAGAAGAACTAGAAAGTACCTTGAGAACTGACAAGGTATTTATGTTATTTTGAAAACTTTTCCTGCACTTTCTTGCTTATTCATATATCTTACTAGGGTTTCTTCCTGTGCCTTTTGATTTTTGTGCAGCAGAAATGGAGATTTAAAAATTTAAACTGGAGAACTTCGAAAGAGTAATTTTTCAGATTTTTCAGCCATAGTTTTCTAAGCAGCTGGCTTTTAAATTGTGGGCTGTCCATGTTATTCTGTGTTAGGGATAATTCCCTCCTTCAACCATACTCCTGTGACTGAGACATTGAAGTTTATTTTTTAAAAAAATCTGTCATACTGGGTGCATGTTGCTTGATAGTGCCTGCAAAATAGTCGCCCACACCCCAGCTCTTAGATCTGGCAAATGTTGCTTTATTCCTTTGAACCAGTAAACAAACCTACACTGCTGTTCATTGTGTTGCATCACTTCCTGGCCAGTCTTCAGAGTCGCACATCCGTGTGTGTGAGCAGCACTTGCTGCTGCTGTGTTCTGATAGCTGCAGCCCCTTATCTGCTGTCACAGAAGAGTGGGGCACCCTGCATAATCCAGGGAGTTTGGGCTCATGGGCTTGTGTAAGACCAAAGCTGAGTCTGTGTGTCTGGGCTGTGTTCCATAGTAGGCAAGATTCCACATGGTTTAATTCTTCATTCAGATGCAGGAGTGCATTCGTGTATCTTGCCAAGCTCTGAGAATAAGTTTTTGAGGGATAACATGGTTCAGAGATTCAGGTGGACTTCAGGAGAGTGGAAGTCAGCTTCAGTCTGGTGGGAATTACTGATAATTCCACCTGCAAACAGCTGCACTGTTTACCAGCATAACATGGTTCTGGAGTCAGTATAGTCATCATGTGCAACTGTAGCTGAGTTTACAATGTTCAGATCAGACTTCATACACTCAGCTCCATATAGCATTATTTATGCAATTGGTAACTTGGAGCTGATCTGCAACTTCTTTTTTTTTTTTTTTTTAAAAAAGAAAGCAAACCTAAAAAATCCACCCAAAACACAAGCTGAAGGGAGATCATTGTACCTTGTTATACATAGCAGATCCTTTTTTTTCCTTGTATAGATGAACATTTCTAGGCTGTTTGTTTTATTTGGAACTCGAAGTAGTTGTTGCACCTTGAATTCCTGAAATCTGCTTTCTTAAGCTAATCTCTGGTACTAATGTTAACTCTAAGGTCAAATCTAAATACTGTACTGTTAACTTAGCTCTGACTGTTCCTTCTTAATATATCTACTGGTGTCTTAAAAAGAAAGATTTTGAAGACTTTTACAGTTCATGATAAGACAATGTTCATCATGACATGCAGGAGTGGAGTGAGACATATTTGTTCTGAATATCTGCAATATTTGTTTCTTTTGATTTTGTGCTTAGTCACAACAGCCTGAAAGTGCAAGAAGTGAAGAAGGATGTGTGGATCTTCAGACTAAAGAATTGCAAAAAGGTGATTGTTATGCTTGATAGCAACTGAATTTCATACTGAAGGGACTATTACTTACGATGGGAGGGGTGCAGATTCGTTATATATGGCATATAAAGGAATTGAAGAAAGCCTTCAGAAATCTTCCACTGTGTCTAGGAGTTCAGGGGGCCTTGAATTTGGTTTGTGGGAAAGGACGGTCAGACTTTTCTTCCAACATGATATGCTGAAAGTAGGAAAGGATTTTATAATTTGAGATTAAAAAAAAAAAAAAAGTCAACTGCTAATATTCTACTTAAAATCAATAAATAAAGAAAAAACATTTTTCAGGAAAGATAAACTTTCCCAAGGAATGGCTTTCTTCCTTATAGGTTTAGAACATCCTGGTTTTAGGGTGCTGTGACAGGCCTTGTGAGGATATGAAAATAGTAAGTACTATAGGACAAGTTAGAGACTTTACAGAAAATTTCTGTTGTGTTTTTTTTTTCTTTTTACTCTCCAAAAGGTTAACATAATGGTGGCCATTCAGTCAGATTTGAAGAGCAATTATTAGTAGGTAATCATCTAGTTAGAAACCTCAATTAGTCAACTTGGATCTGTGCTCAGTGATTCCTTTTCCATGTACTTAAACTAATCTTCAGTAGGACCAAAACTGAAAAAGAATCCATTCTTCCCAAAACCCAGATTATGCATTCCAATTGTTTGGCTTTCCTGTTAAAGCAGAAACAAACGCCTGCTTTGTGCCCATCTTGTTGGATTTTGTGCTCTAGATGCATTACAATGATGTTTACAGCACTACCAGATGAGAGCTAATCCTCAGTTATTGGAATAGCAAGCAGAACTAAAATGAATCCCAAGAGGTACCAGTGTTACTGCTGCTTATATTGTCCAGGAAGGTTAAAGATTTCCTCTAACAGAAAGTTGCAGCTGAAGGCCTACGTGCTATGACGGGGCACACTGTTAAGCTCATTTCTAAATTTTTAGACATACCAAATAGAAAACAAAAACAGCAGTAAGGTGAAATACAAGCATTGGTATAAAACTTTGAAATTCTTTTTTTTTATTCTCAGGGTCGGTCAGATTCATATACCTGGTTATAGGGTGGTGTATATTTAGCTGAGTGATAAGAGACATGCTCTGCTCACAAGAAAGCAAATGTAAACCCTGAGAATTGCTTAGAAGAATGTAGACTTCAGAACAGCAGATCTAAAATTTGAACAGGTTTTTCTGTACGGTGGGGTTTCTTTGAAGTGCCTTTAAAACTCTGCCACTTCCCATCACTCAGTCACCCAGACAGACAGTACTTAAAATTTTAAATGTGCAGATTGAACTAGCTGAGATAATCTTGTTTCTTGTAAAATGTTTAACAAAAGTCCATTTGTTGTGTAAATCATGTTGGATGTGACATACTGAAGACTAATGCTTTGTAGATCTTGGTAGAGAGGTTTTTTTCTCCCCCACAATAATCTCTCTTATATGTATATATGCTTGCATATATACATACAGCTCAACATACGTAAAAGGAAGTTGTTTAAAAGACAAATGTGTGTCCTGTCATGAGTATGAACAGCAGACACAGTAGTTTAGTAGTCCAAGATTCTTTGGAATGTAAACAAATCATTGCTGTTTGAGTGGGTAGGAACTAGCTCTTAATTTGACACTGCTTTAAAAATTGAAAGATGTGCAGCTCAACAGTATAGCCGTGGAAGAATCATTGCTAAAACACGGAGATACAAGAAACAAACTACAAAATACATAAAGTTCTATGTTAAAAAAAAAAAAAGTGGATTTATGTGATTTTAGGTTTATGTTTTTAAGGGAGAGTTGCTTGGAATGTTTCAGCAGCTTTTTTTTAATCAAGGCATTAATTTGGTGCTTTTGTGAATCAAATTTTAATAACACTTGATAGAGCAGCTTCTTTATAATTCTCTTTGTGTATTTAAAGGTATGGAATTCTTTCAAAACTCCAGACCACTCATCAACTCTTATTATTTTCCCTATTTTTGTGGTGTGGAAGGCTGAGGCTCTACTTCATCAGAGTATAGTGGAGTTTGGCAATTGGACAGTTTCCTTATGTGCATTCTATCAGCTCCAGGTTTTAGTAGTACAGTTAAGCAAGCTTTAGTTTTCTGGAATTATAATGTAGCTTGATCACATTCTACTTCATCCCATGATGCAGAATCTAAGATTGTGATGGATGAAATTCTGATTCAGATGGTAGAAGTATGTTTGAGATTTCAAAGTCACTGTAAATTTGAAAGATGACAGCCCCTTCATTGCCTGTATTTCAAGCATAAAGTGATTCTCAATTATCCTGTGCTGAGGAATTCATACTCTTGTTTCATTTTGTGGGTATATTGTTAAAGAGAAGATTGGCTGTCTGGATGTCTCTTACTTCTGACATTGAAAGTAAGTTTTATGTAGTTTCAGGTTCTCTGGAATCCTTTCAGGGAGGTGAAGTAGAGGATACTGTGATACTTTTCATTTGCTTAGCTTTCCTGATTGTGTTGAAATTATTTTTACTAGATATGCTGCAGAGGAATATTCCTTTAGAAAGAGAAACTTCTCATGTAAGTACTTGTTTTTCAAATTTATTGTCTAAATTTGTGCTGCTTTTCTCATACTTGAATTTACTTCTATTTACATTAAATATTCTCTAAGGAAAATATTATTTCTGTATATGCAGAGACTATGTTTATTGAGACTCTGCAGCTGTGTAGGTTGATGTCTAATTTTTCTTTCAAATCTGCCAGTAAATAAATCTTGCATTGTTATTCCATAGTCTGTGAGTATTTCAAGACTGTTAACTGGCAGAAAAGAGAAGCTTGACTGATCTCCATGAGACTAGAGAAAAAAAATAGGGATTATTCTTGGAGGTTTTGATCACAATTAGAAACCTATTTTAATGCAGTCTGCTGTCTTTCACAAGATTTTATAAGAGGCATAAATGGGAAACTTGCAAATGTGAAGTGTATCTTTTGGAGCAGAAATAAGGCATTTAATACAGGTAGCTGGCTGAAATTGTGTTTGTGGTTAATTAAACTTGGGTAGTAAATATATTTATTACTGTATTGAAATGCTGGTCAGCCACATTTCTGATGCTAATGAGAATTCTGTTATTCCTGCGTGTAGGAGAATGTTCTTTAAATCCAGAAATATTCAGTGTGATTTACTGTGATGAAGTATTTTTAAAACATGTAGTAGGGTGCTTAATTCTGAGACTTCTTTCAATAACAATATCAGTCAAAAATTCTGAAAATACTACTGGTTTGAAGTTTTTTGATCGTGCTGTTCTGTAGTAGGAATGTTACTTGAGTTGTAGGAATAGATTCCTTTGTAATGGCTGCTTTCCATTTTAATGTATGTTGTGCTTGGACGTAGCAAGTAGGGAAAAGTTTCTCCCTTCTTTGTTTATAAACTTCATAGAAAAAAGTAAGTTATCTTTCTTTGTGTTTTGTGTATAGGTGGAAAACTTGGCTACCCAAATAACTGAAGAACATAGATCTAGAGGAATTAAATGTAAATCTTCAGAAACAATGGATGTAAAAAAATGTAAGTGATACAGAAGTACAGGAATTTGTGCAAAACTTTTCTGTGGCAAAACCATGTTCTACTGTGTCTAGGCCATAAAATGGTATTTTTGAGAAAAGTATAGAATAGGGGAAATTCCAAACTCCAAAGCAATTTAAATTCCCAAAACAATTTCTGATATCTCAGTTAATATATTTGATAAAAATATTAAAACAAATTTAATTACCTCACAGAAGAGCATTGTAGTAATTTTTTTCAATCATAGGTGAAGAAACATTTTTTGTTTAGTCTGTAAAATAATTACTAATTTTATCCTTTTAGAATAAAATACAAGGAAGTGGATCATCAGGAAAATCTAAATTTTGTGGGAATGGATGCTTCCTTTTCTTAGGTGGAAAGAAATAAATTTTAGTGTAGGCTTCTGTTTGTCTGGAAGCAAAAAGTGAGAAGGAATTCAGTCCATTGAATGGTATAAACATTTCTAAATTAAATTTAGATGCAGTTAGCATCAAAATAAGTTGGCCATTTTGTTGATATAGTAATTACAAGACTGACAGTGTCATATCTCTTCAAGCTCTGGATTCAACTTCTTATGTCTTTCAGCATCAGAACAATTTAGAAAAAAGTTAGTATCATCAATAATAGCATTTTTTCATAAGAGCTTTTATTCTTCTAAGAATTCTAAGATCTCTTGAAGTGAGTGACTGAACGTCATGTATACATTAGTGTCCCACACAGCATTAAGTGCTTTCCCTGTCTCTGGGTGAGTTGAAGTTGGGGTTGGTGTTGTATTTCTTGATATGTTACCTATCAAATTTTAATTTTGAGCTTATCTTTAAAAACAAACAAGCAAACAAAACAAACCACACCTGCAACATACAAGAAACATGTCATTCTCTTTTGTTATTGTGTTGTCTTCCCATTTCAAAGAGTGGTTAGAATAACTTCCTGTTCATATTTTTGGTAGTAAGAGGCTGCTTTCCAGACTTTGGAATGTCAGTAATAGTGAGATGGTATAAAAGTGACACAAAAATAAGACAAATGCAGAAGACACTTTTTTAACACTTCAATTGTCACTTGCTTTTGCAGGCAAACAGCAGATTGCTCAGGATGTGCTAAAAGATGATGAACAAAGTCAGTGTTCCAAAATGAAACCTGATAACATCAAGGTATTTTCAAGAACTCTTAATGTTCTGCAGTTGTAAATAAGATGAAAACCATAACCATAATTTCTTTAGCAGTTTATTTTGGGAGATGTTTCCATAATTAAGCTACTTTTGCATTGTCTTGAGTTCAAAAGAACTGACTAGCAAATTATACTTTTCAGAGGGGGAGACAATTTAAAAAAAAAAGGCAGGGGTCTGTGTTGACTCTTTGTGGTGTGGAAGACTGAGAGGAATGAATTGCGCAACAGTTGGGAGCTTGGGATCTCACGGAACGTTGTTGGATGCCAGCTCGCCAGTCAGTTCAGTGTCCACATGGGCATTCTGATCTGAGCTCTTCAAGAGGGTATATTGCACTTTACCTGAGTTCTGCTAAATCAAAACAGGAATTAGGACAAGATAGATGTTACTTTTAGGAGTGTATGCAGTATTTTGGGGACTATGTCACCCACTGATTTGTGCTGAAGCTTCTCAGCATCAAAGTTTTTAAGAGACAGTACAAAACCTTGATGAGTAAAATAACTACTCGTGTATCGGGGTGGGGTGGTTTTTTTAGTGTAACTGGCAATGATTTTTTATGTGCAGTAAAACATCTTTCCTCTCTTGTTTCAAAATAATGTAGGAAGTTATTTCAGGTGATGCAGCAGAAGTGTCCAAAGAAATTGATGTAACACAAACACCTTCTAGAAGTACTGTGGAAGAAAAAGGTAATTAAACTGCCCATTATGGCAGATTTTCTGAACCCATATTGAATGTTCATTGCTTTTGTCATTTGAATGATTTTTGAGAGAAAGTGGGAACTTGATCCCAGGAAATATACTTGCATATATTCTCTGGTTGATTTCTGCTCTGTTACTGCTGGCAAATAATGCATTAATCTTAGTTTCTTTAACGGTGAGAAGAGTTTTGATGTTTTTGCTGTTACCAGCCACTGGCTCCATTATTGCTTCAGTATGTATCTTGGGTAGGAAATATAACGGGAAATAAACAGGTAGGTGGGGAAAACAGAAAAATTAGCATTATGTGATATGAACATCTACCTCTGACTGCAAGCAAGGGCTGTCCTACATAAAAATCCATGACACAATCATCACATCAGTTTTGCTTGTTTCTGTAAACAAACAGAAAAGAGTGCAAGTTGCACTGTTGTAATTGGTTTAATTGCACTAAAATAAATAATAAAGATGGTGTGTCCACATAATTAGTGTGGCTTTGATGTTACTTCAGTCTGTCTTTGTGGGAACAGTCTGAGAATGTTCCCTGTTGTTAGTTTGACCTATTAATAGTTTTGTTTCTCATTCAAGCAAGTTGACAAGTCTGAATCTGTTCTGCAGTGTGCTTATATCCTCAGCTTCCTGTTTCATGGAACATGTGAGAAAATGGAATAGGGGCTTGTATTTGTTCTACCATTTTCTAGTGTGTCACAAGTGTGAGCTTTTGTTCTTACCTTAAAATAATAGACTTCCCTAACTCATGTAGCATTAGCAGGAAGCATTATGGCAGACCAATACACTGTTGATACAAGGCAGACAGTGTTGATTTCTGATGGGTGTTTTTAGGGAATTTTGGGCTAAATAATTAAATAACATTTTCAGTGTGGAGGTTGTGGCTTTATTTCTTTTGCCTAATAAAACAAAGCTATGCAATTTCTTTTTTTCTTTTGTATGTGTGAAGATGAATTTAACTTTGAACAGGAAATGTCTGAAAAGAAAAAGCACAGTCCAGAATCAAATGCAAATTCTCCAGAGGTGAGTGGTCTTATTCATGTTAACTCACTGAGATAGTGCAGGTTCACAGTACTCTGTCTTTGCAGTACATAACTACTTTGTATTTTGTTGACAGCCATATTAAAATTGTCTTCAAAAAGTACCAAGGACTTATGTAGCTCTGTCAAAAAGTACAAACTCACAGACCATAAGACATCAATGTCTCATTATGAAGTAGGACTAACTCCCTTCCTAGGCTTAATAGTGCTTACAAAATGTCTAGAAAGCAGTTAGAGTTGTATTGTGTAGAAATAGTACTTTCTGAAAATTTTGTAATTGCTGTGGACAGTTTAATGATTAACAAATACAACTTGCCTTTAAAAAATACTGTCTGTCAACAGTTTCTAAAGTCTTTATCTCCTAGGCATGTACTTGAGATATTCTACAGTATGGGTTATAAACAAATGTCTGATCCCTCGAGATTAAAATTGATGCTGGCCTCTAGAAGTAGACACTGATCTTAGAAAGGTGTTGGATTTCGTCATTTGGGGTTTTTTGCCTCAAATTTGGAAGTAGAAGGAAATTTAAGGAATACATTTTTATATTTGTTCACTCAAGACTTGAGTCTCTAAGAACCATTCTGGGGGAGATACTGCTAAACTTCAGTAAATGCTGAATGAGGCATTTAAGCTTTCCTTGTATGTAAGAGAAAGTCTTATTGGGGATTTCGCAATTCTGAGCATCTGACTTTGTTACTTAAAAGTTCTCTTTCAAAGCTTAAAACTTCAAAGGAAAGGGCCCTTTTTTGCTAAAGATCCTGTTTGTATAGAGAATATCAGCAATCTGTGTATTGGGATAATTAAAATATTAACTGTTTGAAGCACTTGCTCAATGTACAGGATGTAGCCTGTGCTATATGGCTTTATGAAAAGGTGCTCATGGGATGTAAAGTCGGAGTTCTTGTGTGGAGTAAGCCAGCAGCATTTGTGAGACCAAGTGATAGAGATTTTGGGGCTAATGGAGCAGAAGGCACTGCATTCTTAGAAATGTTTTGTGCCTGAGTCAAACCACTGAGAATTGTGTATTAACTGGGAGTTGTCTTGTTTCTTTTCACCTATGTTAGTTGATTTCATAACAGGCAGTGTCTCTTGCTACTAAACTTGCCTCGTCTATTTTTTAACTACTTCTTAGTACTACTTCTGCCACTGTCACATTATTAATTCAGTTAGCAGTCTTTATATTGTATTGCTCAAATACCAATTGTCAGTTACAGTGGGTAAAATATTTTTGTCCTTTATTTTTAATAGGAAAATCAGCCTGTAGTAGTGAAACGCAAAAGGGGACGGCCTCGTAAATACCCTCTTGAAGCAGTACAGCCTGGTGGTAAGTAGTTCATAATACCTGTGTGGAAAAAGAAGGATAATAGTGACATTCAAGTTCTGAACTCATATTTCTTCCCTCAGGTGGGGAGTCAAAAGCTGATATGAGCACTGGGAATGTAAGTGCCTTTATTTTGTTTGGGTGCATTTAAACATGGTATTTGAAGAGCCATTTATCTGTCTAACAGTTAACAGCATTTCAGAAACATCGTATGGAAAACTTGATTTTTGAGTTCAGTCTAAGCAAACAAAACTTATTCATAGTACCTCTTAATATAGCTGAACTTTTTAAGCAAAATATAGTGTCAATTCAGAACGTAGAAAATTACCTATCAGCTTCACACTTAGTTCATTTAATACGAATCTAAGTGTTATTCTAGCTAGCAATATATACCTGTGTGCAGGGTGAATTTTTGGTGGTGTGCATATGTGATTTCTAGTTCATGCTGAGAATAATTTTGGCCTGAAGAGCAAGGGTAACTTTATTTCAAAAATGAGGTGTTTTTTTCTCTCTACTGAATATATCATAATAATAGCACATAGAATCTTTTCATAGCTGTAAAATAAAATATTATGTAAAACAGTTGTTTTACATCTCATGCGAGAGAGAGAGAGACATACTGGTGGGTAACCTAGGAGCTCATGAAACATGTCTGTCTTCTAAATCTCAGTGGTAGTTTTATTTCCTAACCCCTGTGAAGGATATTCACAGCTAAGAAGTGGTCTGCTGCTATTGTTTCTGCAATCCAGTTGGATTACAGCACAGGGCAATGGTGGGTCAGGCATGTTTGTGGAGTACAGCCAGTTGGATTTATTCTGGTTAAAGGCTTCTGTCTAGGGGATGCCTCTATTTCAGAATCAACATTATTGCATAGAAAAGGGTGGATTTTAAAAGTAGTGTTGAAGCACAGGTTTTCTTCCTGCTTGCCTAGTGAGGCACTAGCTGGCATGGCTGTTGGAAATCTTGGGAATTTACCTAGTTTATGGATAAAAGGAATTAATGTTTCTGCTTCAGAATTCCTAGTCTTTCCAGATTGATTTTTTTTTTTTCAATGTTAATTTAATGAAATGTAATTTGAACTGGTGTGAATTTTGGTATCTGGTTTTTCTGTTTTGGTGTTGTGGGTTGGTTTTTGTTTGGTTGGTTTTTTGGGATTTTTTTTTTCCTATTAAGGATTAAAATTAATTTTTAAATTGCCCTCAGAAATAGCTATACCTTGGCACCCTCAGTACTGAAACAGAATCATCTCGATCTGGTTCAAGTGTTTAAAGGTCTTGTACTTCCTAGTGAGGGGTTGGTGTGAGCTGGCTCAGGGAGGGGTGATACCCCCTCCACCTGAGACAGGAGGGCATGACAGTTTTCCCAGGGCTGCTTTGGGAATACATTGCTACCTTAGAGGAACCATAGGCATCCTGGTGTGGTTATTCAGTGGTGAAAACACTGAAGTTTTTGGACAGTCATCATAGGATATATATATATTGTGTAATTACATATAGCTTTTTCTGCATTCTGAGTAAATAAACAATTTCTGGTGACTTGTAGTTCTAAAGTGACTATACTAATGTCTTTGTTGATAATTAAATACTTGGAAATGTGTTTGACTGAAACTGCTTTTATCTTGTGTGTCTTTTATTGCAATGACTTTAGTGTCAGGTTACTGAAGGTGCTGTGATTTGTTTATGGGCTGATTTGACTTGTTTCAGTTATTTATCAAAGTGGAAAAATGCATCCTACTCTTAAGCTACAGTACAAACTTTATGTGTTCGTTAGTGTTCCTGTTTTCTGGATTTACAGATTCATTCTAAATTGAATGTGGAAAAATATCTGTGATAATGTAATGCAATGCTGAATTTTCCTGATTTTCTTTAAATTAAAAATCCCACTTTTTTTAATTTCAGCTGCAGTCTTCTACCTTTGCAAGTAGAGGGAAAACACCTCAAACAGGTAAGGAAATTATACCTGCCTCAACATATAAAATGAAAGATGGAAGAAATAGAAGAGGGTTTTCACAAAAACCACATGGGTCCTTCTTCATCCTAACATCATCTCTGGCAGTCAGTGTTATTCATGAATGAAAGCATCTGAGGAAAGAGATGAAGTGAAGACTTGTCCCTGATTGCTACCAAGTTTTTAGTTCCAAAAAAGGACAGCTTGCTAAGAACTTAGTTCGAAGATGCAGCAGCACTGCTTGGTGCTGAGTATTGCATTGCAGAATGTACCAAATGATTGAGTAGGCTAAGCACCTGACACAGCTTCAGAGGAAGGTAGGTGCCTCATCAGACTGGCTCTTAGTGATTGCTTTCCATTTCTGCATGGTTTCTTTCATACAGCTACTATCAATCATGCTTACTACATTACATTTCAAGTTTTATTCAGTTAATTGTTGTATCTGTGGATATGTATCTGAAGATTTTTGGGGTATCTTGAGGGGATATTTCTTTCCCTTTTCACAACTGCTGTAACATCTTTGGAACAAGGTTGCTTAGCTTGACTCAAAAATGTACTTTAAGTGCTTCAAACTAAAATAGAATTAAGTGAAATACCTTTCTATTTCTCTTTCCTAATTTTTCTTGTGTATAGAGTCTGAACTGCACTGGTTGTTTAAAGGTGTCTTTTTAATTATGGCCATCCATAAAAAAAAAAAAAAACTTTTTAAAGCCATTTTAGGAAGCAGGTGGACTGAAAAGTAGGTTAAAAATTGTTTGTAAATGAATGCAAACAAACATGCAAAACATCTGAGAAACCAAACCTTCAAAACAAATCTTCTGGTCTTTCCAAAACCTTAGGTTTCTACAGATACACTAATCCAGCTGCACTGAACATATGGGCTGTTTCCTATTTTCTCCACATTTGTTAAAATGTCAGCTTTAATCCATATGCTTCAGAATTGTCTCTGGAGGGTTAGCTCGTTGTGTGGTACTTGACTTCTGTGAACTACAAAGAGAACAGACAAGAATGTGAGAATGAAATTCTGCTTTGCTTTTTGTTCAAAAGGACAGACACCTGACTGTGTACTTAAAGTTTGTGTGTTATGTAACATTTCTGTTTTCCAGATAAAAGGCTGTTGCTATCACAGCAATGTTCAGAGGAATATATAAAGGGGAATGAACTGTTAAATTTTTCATCCTGTATTAGTATTCATGGGCATAAAGGGGTTGAGAAACCCTGGTGACTGAAAGGAAGCCAAGTTGAATCCCTCTGTGCAGTTCACTTACTCTGGTACTTTCTGGGTGTTCTGCATAAGGATTTGCAGTAGGGACAGACCCACATATGGAGTGGGATGCGGAGTTTTATTTTTGGTCACTACAGCACATGCAATTAAGAGACACATGTTTTCCGAAGGTATCATCTTCCCGTAACACTAACAATGAACTTGAAACTAATTTCTTAGCACTAATCAACACTTGCTGCTCTAAAATTAGTGTGATTTTTAGATACTATGTCTTACTATTTTTATACTTATTTTTAGGCAAAAGTGTTACATTTTCATATCTTACAGAGGGTTATCTGTTAAAGACATGTCATGAACTTATATTTTTCTTCAGTCAAAAAACCCTTTGCTACAAATTTGCTAAAGTGAACCAGAATTATGAAGTACCTCTTTTGAACACAGTAGAACTAATACATGCTGATTTTATTATGTATGTGTTTATGTTGCGTGTAGAGCTCAATACAGTGGACAGTCTTATGTTTTATTTAACTTATTTTTTTAACACTTAAATATATTTCTGTTTTACTTCATTTGCTTTTGGAAAAGAAGTTTTTCCCTGTAACCTTACAAAGGAGTGCCAGAAAGCTTGTGTGTGAGTTTTAGAATATGTTTCTGCTCTTTGAGATCTATTTTAGATCTTTTGCATTGGCATTCTTTAGTTGGTTTTCTCAGTCTAATTGGTAAGGGTTTTAGAGTTTGTGTCCGCCATTATTTAGCTTTCAAAAATTAGACAGGAATTTTGTGATGGGAAAAAATACATAAAAACTTGCTTTTATTTACGTTGCTTGTCTTTTCTATTACAAAGGATTTATATCCTTGCGGTGTTAGAGAGCATTCTGTTTGACAGAGTTCAAAAGCTTTGTAAAATAATCTCTCTCATCACAGTTGGGGTAGAAGTGGTAACCATGGGAGCCATGTTGAGACATGTGATGTTGAGTTAAAAATCTGTTTTAACATGTACAGGCTAACCTGTAAAAATTACTGAGTTGGAAGTAAGAAGTATTTCAGCAAAGGAAGTCATGTAATTTGCATACTAGAAAGTTTTTATATAGTGTCTTTTTGAGCTTCATCTTAGTCATCTTGATATGAGTACAGTTAAGCACTAGAACAGATCACCTGAAAGGAACCATGTTCTTGGAGACTTTCAAAATTGGACTGAACAAGATCTTGTGCAAGATTAGATCAGTTAATTTAGCCATGCTTTGAACAGGAGATTGGACTAGGTGACCTCTGCAGGCCCCTTCTAAGCCAAATTTTTCTGTGATTGTGTAATTGGTTGACAGTAATTAAAGGGGGTAAGTATCTTCTGCTTTTCCATTAAAACAGAACAGCATATACAACAAAGCAGTAAATACTGTCAGTCATATAAAGCCTTAGTACTTAAAAAAAACTTTAATCATTGTCCCAGTCTCTGTATGTAACAAATTACAACAAGCTATTTTGTAAATTAGTAAGAGACTTGAAATGTTTTTAGAGCTCCTGTGATGCTTACACAAAGTTGAGAGAGTATGAAAGAATTCCCTTTTAAATTGATAGGTGAAAGATTTGAAGTTCAGGATCAAGTTTTCTTCTTTCCTTTTGTTTTTAGGTACAGACATATCTAATAAGAAAGAAACAACAAATGTAAGTGTGATTTTTAAATTTACAAGCAGCATGTAATGAAAAATGTCTGTCTTCTGTGTAAAGTAAATAGTTTTTGACTTACATGGTTCCATTTTGTTTTTTCAGGAAGATGAAGCTGAGAAGGCAGAAATGGTTGTGCGTAAAAGGGGAAGAAAGCCCAGGCGTTCTCTGGTTCAATCAGAGGAAACGGGTAAAAGCATGAGAAGCTGTGCTACTCCTAACAGAATAAGAAAATACTGCTGTGCCTTCTGTTTACTAATAGCAACAAGATAAGCTTTATTCAATTTTCCTTTCTTGAGGAAAAATCATTGAGTTACAGCTAGTGTAAATATTATGTAAATATGTGTAAATTGCTGTAATCTCATGTCAGAATTGCTACATCCCAGATGCTTCTATAAAGCCTCATGAATTTTCTATGAATTCTGGCTAGGAGCTGTGTAAGTAAACTGTGGTGAATGTGTTAGCAAGATTAAGTCAAACAAGTGTGAATTAAAAATGTTGAAATATGAAGGAAATGGAAAATTACTTACTGAAAATGGTATTTGTGACTAGAATACCTTTTCTAAATTAAGTGTTCGTGTCCTTTTGGAGGCCTTTTGGAAAATTATAGCATATGTGTAAAATTTTAAATGGACAGAAACACTGGAGCCAGAGAAGAAACGTCGGAAATTAACGTCTTCTGAAGATGAGCTAAAAGAGCAAGAGGAAGGTGAGGAAGAGGATGGTGAGGAAGATGATGACGCACATTCTGGGGCCACAACTAGATCAGCCACAAGATTAGAGGCTCAAAGGTAACTGTGTAGACACTCCAATAACAAGCTTTTTTCTGCCTTGTTTTTGGTTGTTTTGGAGGTTGTTGCAGGGAGGAGCTTGTGACTTCCTCTTTTTGCCTTTCTCTGTTTGTTTTAAAAATTATAAGAGCTTCCCAAATAACTTTGATTCTAATTCTGGTACCACTCTTCAAGGAATGAAGAGACAAAAGGTGAGGTTAAGGGAAATTGTTAGGGTCTCAAAAGGCATACTTGAATATGTAGCAAGGTAAGAATTGATCCTGTTGGCACTCTTCGTCCTGGTGATGCCGCAGAATTTAAGTCTAAGGACACTTGGTTCTGATGGGTAAAATGGGACATAGGAGTTGATTGTACAATCCACCATTTGGTATTTGGTGTTGGAACAAGGTGAAAATATAATTATCCCTGTCTGTTTCTTTAAGTACTGTCCAAGTTAAATACATGAATCTGCAGTACTGGAGGATTTTATTTCTAGTATGGTGATCTCCAAGCTTGGAAAGCAATCTTGCTGTGAAAGACAAGTGTGGGTAGCAAAAGTTCTATTTTCAGGAAGCCATTCTTCCTCTGCCTTAGCACTGGTCTGCTTTTTGCAGGCTTACTGAATTCCAGCAGAGCTCATCCTCTTGATCTTATTGTAGAAACAGTGAAACACAGCAGCTTTGGGAAGTTTTGATGTGCTGCTGTCTTTCAGAAGAGAATTGGAGTCCAGGCATTTTTTTTATGTTGGTGGTGGGATTACTTTCAATTGACCATATGTGCTTCCTTCTTAAGGATATTGTGGTATATTGTATATATTATATGTTAGCCTTTGGGCAGTACTGGAAGCACAGTTGCCACAGTGCTCTTGAACTGATAATTTCAGAACTGAATCCGAAAGTAGTTACATGGTTGTTCATTTACATAAAAACTGTGAAGGTTTACCACTACCACTTAGTAAACAACAGTTTTGTTTTGGTAAAGGCAAAGGGACTTCCTTTAGTCTCACATAATGGTTAACTCTAAAATTGTAATAAAGGTTTAGGTATTTGTGGGTTTATTCTACTTGCATGTGGAAACATCTACTTTTTTGTAAATTTGGGGTTGTGTCTCAGGTTTCCAATGCTATCTTTCTGGCTCTGATTGTAACAAAGCATCTCTACCTTAAGGTGCTGCATCCAATCTGCATTTTATAAATAGCGTTTGGGAATTATTCTGTGAAAGAGGATGCTTCTTCATATTCAGCATTGCTGGATTTTTTTGACTTAAGTCACTTGTCTCTAAGCTATGAAATTAATCACCAATAACCAGTTTTTCAGGTTTCTGAACTTGTGGATACCAAAGCTTGAGTGAATTCAGACTACAGGATATTCTTTTAAACATAGACGTTTATGTACAAAAATTATTGCAAGATTTGGAATGGATTGGTTTGGGTTTGATTTTCTTTGTAAATACCAAATATTGTCAGTAAAGCAGTCTTTTGGTTTTACACTTGATACAAAAATACCCAGCTTGGCTTCGCAGTGTCTTGAAGCAGGCAAATATGTTTTTTTCACTGTTTCTTTTGGCAACTTTGATTTACTTGTTGCAAATACTGTTCAGTGTTGATTATCTGCACTTGGAATGCAAGAAGAAATTGACTTGGTAAAAGTATTTTGTCATACATAAATTCATCGTTCTTTTGTATTACAGAAAACAGACCAGCAAGCCAACCACACGTGCAACTTCTAAAGGCAGCAGTCCAAGTTCAGTTTCTCCTAGAAAACAACAGAAACTAGCAGCTAAGAAAAGATCTCCAAGTGATACAAAAATTAATAAATCTCCTCCATTGACACAGTAAGTATTAAAGTTGAATCTACTTTGAGGATTTGTTCTGGAAGCCACTACAGTGATCCTTTCCTTGTATGCAACATACCGCTTCAAAATCTGAACAGCAGACTAGTTTTGTTCTGTTCTCATGTGAATTATAAAAGCTTTTAAAGGATTTTCTTCTGTTTACATTCTTCTTTTTCTTCCTTTATTTGACACTTGGAAGACTAGATTTTTTTTTTTTCTTATATCCTTGGAAACCTCTGAAAATGCTGTTTATGTAGTATTTTAACTTCAGCTGTGATTCTTTCCTGGGTGGGGAGTAAGAGCATCGGTAGTTCAGGTTAAAGCTAAATATACTGGCATGATTCTAATGCTTCAAAGATCTAAGATCAGCTGATAAAAAGAGGAGAAACTCTGAGAGGCCTTTTACCAAGTTTTGAATATATTTCCCTTTCCCTCCTTTCCTGGTATACTTTTTAGTTTGTAAAGGTGAGATCATAGTGCACAATCCCAAGGGAGTAAGTAACAAATGTGATGCACAGTTGCTCTGCATGTTGTAGTTTACCTGTAAAATGTGTTGTGTGCCAAACACGTGTAGCTGTCATCCTTTCTGAAACGTGTCAGTGTCTTCAGGCTGAACCTGGAGAGCATGTGCATTGTGCACTGATGGCTGTCACAGTACACCTCAGCTCCATTATTTTGTGTGGTTGTGAATGGCCAAGAGTTTAAGGCCATTTACAGTTATTTGCAGCTGAAATATGGTGAGCATATGGATGGGTGTGTGAATGCACAAGGTACAGGTACCTGGTGTGTGCCCTTTACTCCCTCTTGTGTATGCTGGGCTTGAGACACTGTTGCTGCTATTCTGTCTTTGTGAGACAGGGGACAGGGTAATGAAGTTCATTATGTTTTGTTATAAATCCACAAATCTTTCCAGAGAAAGAGAAGGAAGAAGAATAATTCTAGCACCAAATTCTACAAAGGGAGCACTCTCCAACATACAGAGTTAGTACCCTATATCTTACTAAGAAGTGGGTTTTAGTAGTAAGCTTTTATATAATATATCAGAGATGTATGGTTTACTTCAGCCCTCTGAATAGAATTGTGCTTGACCACTCTTCATTGTGGAAATAATATGCTTTTAATATGCTTTTCAGGTTAAAGGTGCAGTCTGCCAAGCGTAAAAGGGAGGACAGCCCAACAGTGGTACGGAGAAAAGGCCAGCAGAAAGCAGAGGAGACGCCATTAAAGAAAGCAAAACGATAATCTTTACCAGCCAGTACTGTTCTTGGAAGAGTCAAAAGGAAAACAAACATCTGTGCTTCTATTTTTTTTAAAGCAAAGGGATTTGCACGTGCTTGTTTCAGAGCTCTAAGTTAAACAATGCAGTACTTTTAAGTTACATTTTAAACAGCTTTATAAACTATTGTTTATACAGAATATTATGTACATTTATTTCAGATGAAAAATAAGTTTACTTTGTATCTGAATGAAAAACAAAGTAGTTATATATTTTATCACTGACTTGGAAAGTTGGAGTTTCCCAATGTGACATGCTAATGCAGATGCTTCCAGCCCATAAGGCACCCATGTGCCTACTAATACTTTGTACATAAACTTGTAAAAATAGGTTGTATTTTACTCTGTGTATGAATCTGATCAATGATGGACATTTTATTTATTATATGGAAAGCATTGGTCTGTAAACTTTAGTATATATCTTAGGGTTTTTTAATTATATATTTTACATTCTATGCAGATGTCAGTAGGAAACTTCCCCTCTGCTCCCCCAGGGCTGTCTAAAATCTGAAGTTCTCTAAAATATGCTCAGACAGTTGGTGAAATACTTTTCTCGCATGCATTAAAGTAGTTTAGCATAGTGAAAGGGACTTGGCTCCTTTCTGTTCACTTTTGTGGCAAAGTACGGCATTTAAAATGTAATCTTACTAGATTATATTTTCACTTGGAAATTTACTACCAACTTCAAGAAATAAATAGTACTAGGTTAGATTTATTCACAGTCAACCAATACCACCCTGAAATGAAAGTTTTATTTTGCAACTAAACACATGTTCTTTCAGTATTTATCTTTTTCAACAAAGAGGGACCCATTGAAATCAAATGTCACTTCTCCTACCTATAGAGCTTCAGCATTTTATGTTACATTTTATACACAGGTATTAAAAACAGAAGCTGGTATTATTGCCAGAATCTTTTTTTAATGTATATTAACTCTGGTAAGAGCAAATGTTCAAGTGAAGTTGTATATAAAGTTAAACTTTTCTTATGATCAAATGTGTCTCTTGTTATGATGTGATGAATTGCCAAACAATCTGAGATTATTTTAAGTGTTTTGTTGATATTCTGGTTTATAATTAAAAAATATTTTGGGGGTTGGATTTTACTTTTTTTTTTCTTTATTTCTCTTTTTTTTGTGAGGGGTTTTTTTTTTTTTTTGTTTTTTTTTTTTTTTTTTGAACTTGTTGTAAGGCAGATGTTTCGGTCAGATATTCTGCTAGGTTTCTTACTGAGATTTTTGTATAAAAATATAAAATGTTTGCCAGAACTCTTGAGTTGCCATATTTTATTTTCCTTTAATTCTTTTACTGGGGAACTTGTCTTTACAGATGTGTCTGGTTGGAGCCATGTCTATAAACTTTACCTGGTTAGTGTCTTTAAAAAATGTTCACAGGTGCTTATATTTTAGATATGTAAACAGTAGGGAAAGTCTGTTTGCCTGCCTTAGAACATTATAAAAGTGCTCACATAATACGTTTCTAAGTAAATTCATCTGAAAGAAGAAAATATCTTAGCCCTGAAATATCTTAGCCCTTTTATTTTCTACCTTAACTCTGCTGCCATATTAGTACATGCCTTGCTAGCATACTGAAGGATATATTCCTGTATGTTACGAATACTGATGTTTATGCATAGCTGTAGGATAAGTTGAATCTTTTCCTTTTTCCATTTTTTTTTCCCTTTGCCCCCTGCAGTATGCATGGACCAAAGTTGTATATTTTGTCTCAGCCTTTGTTCTGTAAGGCTAAACAGGCTGAACTGCTTGTTTTTCCATGGGTGCTTTCCAGACTTTAGGTGGGATTTGGAGTCCTTCCCTGCACCTGTTCCATTTGTTACCTTACACCCAGATTCAGTGGTGAGGTTGCACAGGGGATTCCTAAAGAAGCCTTGCCACTGCACTGTACGTTTTTATCTTTTATTCTTTCTGCTGGTAGTACCTGTCCTGCTCCAGGACAGTTCATATTTGCCTCTTTCACAGGCAGAGCTCTTCTGATGGATTATAATGATTGACAAGCTCTGACTTGTGTCAGATCCTTTTGACTGGCTCTTGTCTGATATCTCAGTAGATAAACAGAGCTCTGAAGATCAGTGTCAGTCTCTCAAAGCTAAGCTCCTAGAAAGAGGTCCTTCCCCTAGTGATGGATAACATTTAGGAGGAACATCTCATGTACGGAATGTATCTTTGATCATTAAGTTATTCGGTAATATGAAAGCATTAAAGGAATTACCTTTCTGCAGGACAGCCACTTTTACTTAAAGAGAGGGTAAAAACGGCCAATTCCACAGACTTTCAGCTTATGCATCTTTCACTTGCTGCCACCTTCTTTCTTGTCAACAAAAGAGATATTTATGCTAGGCCACATCACTCTCAATCCCTATTGGGAATTTTTTTTTGCTTGGTAGTTTCAAAGTGTCATCTAAATTACTATTGCACTTCACAGGAACAGTACTGGTCTGCTGTAGTTAAGCAAAACTTGAGAGGTTCATGTTTGCCATAAGGAAGGGTTTCTTCACTGAAAGGGTAGTTAAGCCTTGGAACAGGCTGCTCAGGGAGGTGGTGGAGTCACTGTCCCTGGAATTGTTCCATGGCACTGTGCTATGGTTGAGTTCACATGGCAGCATTTGATCAAGGGCTGGACTCAGTGATCTTGGAGATCTTTTCCAGCCTTGCAGTTCTATGATTGAATGTTCACAACGTCCAACTCTTTTGTACCTTCTGTCTCCCAGAGCCCTTCTGAGCACAAGACAGGGAGGGGAAGAAGAATCTGTTTTCCTTGGGTGCATGCAGCAGGAATCACATTAAGGCAGAGTAGTAGAGAGATGAGTCAAGCACAAGAAGTCTGATGCTGGTTATGTCGATGATTATAACTGGATTTATTGCTGACACAGTATCTAAGTATTGCCAATGTAAGACAAGCAGTTCTAAAGGGTTTATATATAAGCAGGAAGAGCTAGAAGTGTTTAGTCTCTTTGACTTTGCAGAATCCACAATTATAATACAAGCACCTCTGGAGCTACTTTAGGGTTTTATCTCCTTATGTGACAGTTCCTCCTGCAATTCTCACCTGGTTTTCATCTTGGGACGAATCATATTGCCCATCAAAGACAGCTGCAAAGTGGGAGAGGGAGGAAGTGAGGAAGACTATGTTTTGCCACAGTCACACACATCCATCTTCAGAAGTGAGGTTTGTACTCCAGCCTGAACCTTGACATATGTATAAAGCAGTGACACTTTCCTAGTCCATGCAAATTTAGGAGAAAAATTCTGTCCTGCACTGAAACAGAATGTTCTGAAAGCATTTTGTGGAGACATTTGCTCAGGGCCATTTGGTGCAATAACATGGCTAGGCTTCAATCCCAGTAAATTTCTAAACCACTTGGCTGGTTTTTATGTTTTAGTGGCTGTTTGTTCTTCCAGTTCCTTCTCTTGGGACAACTTCGTTTCTCTGAATATTGAAGTACTGAGTGTGCAGAGATGTGCTGGTGGAAGACTGAGTTCAACTCCTCCCAGAGTTTTACAGAACAGGACCTTGAGTCCTGTTTGCCATACCTCAGCTGCCTGCGTTACCAGCTGGCTATTGGCTTGTTCTCAGGATCTCTTCATATTTCTGATGCATTCTTCTTAAAGGCTATTTACACCTCTTAACTCGCTTCAACTTGAAATACTATGGTATTATGTACTGCATAGATTTTAAATCACATTAATGGAAAGTTTTTTGGTTGTTTTTCTTTGTGGTGGATTTTTAAATCAGAGGCTCACCAGTTACAAGTTTGCAGTTTTCACTTTTAGGTGGGATCTGGCCAGCTTTTAAGGCTTGCAACTGGTAAAATTTCCCTCTAGAGCCTAATCCAAAGTCAGTAGGTGCACTCAGCAGTTGGGGCAAGGTTTTTGCTGATGTTGGCAGATCTGAGTGCCTCAGTTTTCTATTCCAACAGCTTCTCTACTTCTCTCTTAAGGGAGGCGGGGGTTAATCTGTGACATCCATCCCAAATACACATCTACTGTTTCTTCTCTCCCAACCAATGTTCCAAAACTATCCTATACAGAACAATCTCTGGCCCCGATCCCTCAGAGGCTGGATAAGGTCCTGAGCTGCTTTAATCTCTCCAGAAACTCAGTAAAAAATTGTCACATATCACTTGGCAACCAAGAGCAGCGGGTGCTGCTGGTCGTAGTGACAATCAGCAGATGTCCACTGTGAAGCAAGTCCAACACCAGCTGGGGTGTCTACACCTAAAAGTGGCTTAAGTCTGATGCCTGTATCAGGTTCAGCATTAGGAAAAGACCATTTGCCACCACAGACTTTCAGTACTCCCTTGCTCTTGGAAGAGGTGGTGGCAGCTCTGCAACTCTGGTCTGAAGAGAGAGAGTTGCTGCCCTGAAGCTGGGATGCACTGAGTGCCTTTACAGATCCCTCCAAGGTAGCATTTAATTTCCTTGAAGCTGTATCTGTTCATATTGTAAAGAGTGAAAGTGACTTGTATACTTTTATTCTCTTCCCAGTAAAATTTTCAGTCTTAAGGTTTAATGGGACCATCTTGACAAAGGTGACTGCACATTCATACAGCATACACCTACTCCAGACTCTTGGTAACTCCAGTATCCTCATAATTGCCTGCTGATTCATTTTGTATAGAGCTCAGAAGACTCACACCTTCAATTTCAACAGCCTTCCATCTATTTCATTTGCTTGTAGCTTCAGTTTGGAGGAAATTGCCCATGTCAGCCTTCTGCAGGTTTGGCAACTTCTTAAAGACACTGTGCTCACTTCTTCCAGTATATTCCTTGTCCCAGCTATGTACGTCACACTCCATTACTTCCATCAGCTCCTCAAAAATTTGGGGCCTGTTTCAAACAAGGTGGGGTTTTTTTCTACTAAAACATGAAAGTTTAAACACCAGGGAAATTCTATTTCCATTCTAGTCTCCATATCAAGATGTTTCACCAAATTCCTTGAAAGGGTATTTCTCATTTAAACCTGCTTCCTCTTTCAAATCTCAGCTTTTTAGTTATCCTTGCTGGCTTTGTGAATAAAATCCAAAAGGAAAACATAATAAAAATAAATGTCTTGCTGGGAGTCCCTGGATAGCTGTATTTAAAGCTAGGAACATAACACTCTTGCCAAACAACCGGGGAATGAAAATATGATTTGAAATGGCCGTAACTTAGTAGGGCACGAATAGATTTTTGGCACTGACTGTCAGAGGGGTGGGGTTGCATGGTCAGGCTGTGACTGCAAGACACTTTTCACCTTCCCTTTTCTGCCCCTCTGCCAGTGCCTTTCTCCATGCCAGTGCTGAGTTGTACAGTCACAGACTGCTGGATCAGGGAGCTTGAAATTACCTCTGCAAAACAAAACTGCAGATTAGTTTTTAGTGTTATCATTTTATTAAACCAGCTGCTGATGAAACTGGGCAAATACTGCTGCCTGCACAAAGAAGATGTCATGTGGCAGAGAGGGGCTGTGAAATCACCTTCCCATTGTGCCATGGATTTGAGTGCCCTTACATTGTTCATCCAGGTGCACCATTAACTCTCCCATTTATGGCACCTCTCTATCAATAATTCATGTATAAATGAACAGTGAGGTAATTTGTGGACTTTATCCTTTCTAGTGACAAAACAAAGAGTCTTCTTGAAAGAAGGATAGGTTATGCATCACCAAGGATAAGATTTTTTATTTTGTGTATTTGTTTAGGGTTGACACCAAACTATACTGACTAATTGAAAGGTGTGTATCTCTATCCTCACCATCATCTCACATCAGCAAGCTCAGGTCCCTTGAAATGTAGGAAAGCTGTCCCAGAGCTCTGGTTCCTGATGTCACCAAATACACTGAAAATATCTATGCTTTCCACTGGGGAAACATAAACCTTTCTGTCAGTTCAGTTTGGAGATCAAGTACCTGCTGCAGTCCTGGTAAGCTCCATTTGCGGGTTTTCCTTGTGGAAGGATAGTGCTTACATGTGGCTCCAGCTAAGCCATACACAAAGTTCAGCTCTTATCCAGCTTAACTAGCTGGTGGGAATATAGCTAAAGTAGAAAAATCTCTATAAAATATTTCAGAATAATTCGGATCCTCGCAAACCACATGAATAGACCA